ATACGGATCAACTAAATTGTTCAACTATGTGCCACTGTTCCGAATGGCGACCATTGCGTGTTCACACGGTAACCCATTTATTTGCCACTGAAAACATGAACACGTACGCTTCCCAATATCTACCAACACAGATGGGTGGGAGGGGACGTTGTACACGTCATTGTTTGACTGGCTAACTGTCCATGATTTACCCTCCTTGTATGCCTTATCCAATTTGTACTCCATTTTTGGACATATCATTCCAACCCATGTGATGGACGCTCTCTGACGATCCGCCATCTGATTCATTATCTGTATTCTGATTGTGTCAACCAACCTAGTTATTGGTAAATGCCGTGCTTCCTTTATCAAATTGTTGAACGATTCAGCTGCATTAGATGACATCTCTCCATATCGAGTGCCCTTGCGTATTTGTGGTAAAAATGTCAGTTACATGAACTAGTGGCATGTGTAATGTGTTTCTTGTTGGTGTGGGAAAACTTATTTAGTAGTAAGCGATCAATCATTACATGAAATATGCATTGGCCAAATGGCATGGGTCCAAATCCTTCAAGAAATTTGTCGCGAAATGATGGCCATATTGTATAAAATGTTCTAACTTTTGGTTGAAGTCAGACACGGTTGGTGCATACGAACAGTTGCAAAATTTACTAACAATCCCAATACAGTATGGGTTGTTGACATATTTCATTCTGTCTCTCAAATTCCTTTGCAAATGTTGCATACAAAATGCATGGTGTGATGTTGGAAAAATAACAGGTATGGATTCAAAGAGACCAATATGTTGATCTGAAACAAACGTTAATGATCGGGACCCATCAACTATGTTAGCAAGATTTTGTAAAAAACCATTCCCAATTTGATGCATTCTCTGATTCGACAACTGCGAACACCACTGGAAATAACCCTGCAAGACATAAGCAAAACATTGTAAAATTGTGTGGCACCACCGGTGTAGTGATTTTCGATACGTTGCAAGACATTATAAAATTGTGTGCCAACCATGTAGTGCACAGAAATTGAAGCATTACAACATGTAAAAAAAATTTGGTAAGAACGCGTAACCTATGTTGTCATCTTTGGCGGTAGTGGCGAGCAAGTTGCCTTTGAATCTCCTTTTCAAGAATGTACCATCCAAAAATAGCAGCGGCCGACACTGATTGAACCCATCAATACATGCTTTAAACGATATGAAAAGCCTATTGAACCAACGTGTTGCTTGTATCAAAATCTAGATTAACATAACTCCCTGGGTGGTATTCCATAACGGCATTGCTATACCACCGCAATTGGTTGAACGAGGAAAAATGATCACTAAAAATTTCCCCCCTCACCTTCTCAACCCCCAACCAAGCTACATGATAACTAACCTGCAATCTGTAATCTTTCTGGAAATGATACTTTACATCCGTTGGGCGCGTTAGTGGCTTGTCACGTACGTGTTCTGCCATAACATCAACAACAAATTTGGAACCCATCCTCGGATTATTTGCAGTATGCACAGCAACCCCGCAGGTGTGCTTGCTGTCCTATTTCTTCACGTAGAAAAACCCATTCACATTCATCACCCTAGCATGGACAGACCACGGACATCCCATTGACTCACTAAACATGTAGACTGCCGTAATCCTAACTGAGTCATTCTTCTTGAACTTAAATTGGAACCCACATTCAATACCATATTTGCTAAGAACTTTCCGAAATTTCGCCGCCCCACCTTCAAAACACTGCCCCACATTACTGATTCCATCAGCCCATGATTCCGACAACATTTTTTGCGTATGCATGCAAAAATTGGGTAACAAGTCATCATCTTTCTCCACATATTTTGTCACGTCATTACCCCCCACATACATGTGTCCACTTTTTGAATTCTCATTGATGCCCCGTCGGCGTTCGTCCACCAACGAGTCTATGCCCAATTCCACAACGACGTCAACGTGATTCACCCAGAAAGACCTGGCAAGGCACATCATGTTTTTGGAAGTCCAGCTCGTTGTCCATGTTGAATTTATTGTGCCTGGCGATCCTGAAGAACATAGACACCAAACCTGGACACACCCCTCCAAATCGTTCACATAGATGATTAACCAGTTTGGTATACGTGAATGCCGTATCAACCAAGACAGCAACGTTATGATCACCGTACGAACACAACAACATTAAGTTGTCCCCCATCCTTGTAACTGCCAACACCAAAAATATACAATTAATTCCAGAGAATACAAACACTCCAACACATGGATTTTAAAAAAAACAAGCATACACTACAACAAAATTGAATTTTTACGGCTTGCAATGCATGCCGTAAAAACTCTTTCACAGCATGCACACAAATATCGTTATATGACATGTTGTGGAAAGTTGAGCGTCATTTACGGCATACAAGTAAAGTTGTAAAAAGTAATAAATTAAACATCAATAACATACTTTGTATGTCGTATATAATTTTTTACGACATTTTTGTCATGCCATAAATCATCATACTTTCCATGGCATAATTTTGCTTGCCGCAGAATATTAGTTTTAATATGTTTATGGCATATTATGTATGCCATATATAATCTTTTACGACATTTTTTTTGCATGTCATAAATCATTACACTTTTCACGGCATAATTTTGTATGTCGTAAAAAGTTATTTTTAGTATATTTCTGGCATACTCTGCATGTTGTATATAATCTTTTATAACATTTTCTTGCATGTCATAAATTATTACACTTTTCATAGCATAATTTTGTATGTCGTAAAAAGTTATTTTTAATATATATATATATATATATATATAGAGAGAGAGAGAGAGAGAGGAAAAGCAAATTCAAAGTTCATTACATGAGTAAACTCAATATCTGAACACATGATATTACTAAAATGCCCACTTTAATACTTGAAAAACAAATTACAAGATTAGATAGCAAATTATATGTACAAATGAAAGCAAAAATATTATACACAACACAAGCTTGTCAAGTCTAATTCATTATTAGGAGCAGTAGAGAGAGCTAAAGAATCAATTAACTTGGCCAATACAGAAAGGCCCTACCCCAATACCAATTGTAAGGATTCGAAGAGCAAATGTTGCAGCAGCAGCAACACGTGCAATCACACATTCCAAAACAATAGAAAAGCACCCAGCTTCCTGCAAAGCCAGGGCAAACTCAACAACCTGCAGAAAAATAAATCCATCTTAAGAGGAAATCTCGTCTTCAAAGCTTGCAAACTTATTAATTTTTTTGGAAAATATATAATAGTGGTAGGGTCATAACAGTTTTATGCACTCTGCATCACTCAGCAAATTCAAAATTGACAAAAACTACCCAAAATTGGGAAAAAATAAAGAAAGAATATAACAAGAAAAGAAAATGAAAAGAGATAGTGTATACCCAAATTGATATGGACATCATCATCCACTTTGACATAGAAATCGGCATCCCATTTTGCAATAGCAGTGGAGAAGAAAATTTTGGTTTTTGCAGATAATTCATGATACCCTTCAACATGCCCCTGCAAGACAACATGACTCATGAGCACCAAGGTTGAGAAAAAAAAATTGTGAATTGTCCACAATATTTTTTGTACATACAAGCTCTGTGCATCCTTACCAGTCTGAGGAAGTCCTTATGCTGAGAATCCTCTGAATCAATAGCTCGATCTAGTATGCTATTAGATGTTGCACTGCACCAATCAAAACAATTGGCATTCAACATAATTCTCAATTATACACACAGGTGCCCTATATGATGCAAATATATTGTAGCAAGAGCAAAAGGTATGTATCTTCCATTTAGTAATATTATCCTATTCAAATGGATTTGGATTGGTTTGAGTTAGGACCTGCTTTTTCTAAACCCCAAATTAAAAAGACCGCTATTTCTCAAATGAATTAGACTACTTGAAATCTAGAAAACAAATAATTTTTGGGTATTAGTGGTTAGATTGAAAACCAATACGTAGGAGACAGGATTAAGGTTAATTTAAACATAGTTTGGTAGGCTTTGGGGGCTAAAATGTGCAACTTGAGAGCGTTATGAACAATAACCTGCAAATAGTACTTGGGGTAATTTAGACAGAGGAGGAAAAGAAGGGGGGAAGAAGTGTCTCACCCTCATCACAAGGTTTAGGAAAATTCATACAACCGCAACCTCAAATCCTCATAACTCAACTCTCCACTAAAAACTGAAGATTATTTGCAAATCCATAGGATGCTACATTCTCCAAATTCTACAAAAAAAAAAAAAAACAATGACTTCAAAATTTGGAAATTAAAAATTTTTAACCAACTAAAATATTTTAGAACTAATAACGACTCTATAAAAGATCTAATAGCATTATTTAAAGCATGGTAGTAAGACAATAGTAGTCTATTATTCACACATTAAAGCTTTCATTGTCTAAAAAGAATATATTGGTCCCAATTGTGTCCTTTTCGCATAGCAGGTACTCAGAAAGTCACATGATCAATTATGTTCAATAATCAAACTTTCTATAGGGCATGATCATGCATGAATTATTTCAATCAATGGGTCACCCATTAAGCTACACCAATATTTTTATAGAAGTACCCATGTTGATTATAGCCTTTCCAATTTTTTATGCTCATTCAATCAAATATCCTCATAAATCCCTTTCACTCTTTTCCATTTTTTATTCTCTTTCGGCTATAACTCATTTCATTGTATCTCATCTAACACCAATGTTTCTTGGCTTTCCAACATTTGCTCTAGGGCATTTAGGTCATTATGTCACTATTCAACATAAATTTTCTTGTTTTCTGATAAGTATAACTTCTCTTTAAATTTGCTATCTCATTTGGCAAGTGGATTTTTTAGACAAAAACTTAAAAAGCCACTAAAAAAATCAAAAAGCCAACAACCCATACCAAAAGGTCAAATATTCCATTTTCTCTCTACTTTTTGCACATCTTTTTTCGTAAAAAGCCAAAAAGTCATCCCAAACATCCTAGTTTTTTTACATCACATTTTAGCTAAAAAGTCAAAAAATTACTAAAAAAGTCTATTCCCAAACGAGGCAAAGCACATAAGGTAAAAATCAAACTTTAACTATCCACCTAAAATCCAGGGGAATATCCTCCCTTAAGGTGCAAAATCAAACTTTAACTGTCCACCTCATACCCTTGAGAAAATCCTCTTCAACTACTATCTTCGTACACATGATTATGCTAAGGCTCCTAAGACAATAATTTATAGCATCTACATACCAGTTAAGAAAACGATGCGAAACACAATCAAAAGAGAGGAGACAACTTTAGAATTTTAAACGAAGCAACCCTTGGAACCTTGTTTGGTCAAGTATGTTTTAATTAATTTTCATGGACTATAATTTACAGCATCTACATACGACAAAATAATTGCCGCCTATAAATTTTATTACACTTTTAAGTTTCTACATGTTATAATTCTAAAACTCAAGTTAATTCCTACTCATTTTTGTCTACAAAAACCTCCAAACTTTCCCTAAACTTCTTAAATGCTAGAACTACAAGTTCACCTTATTCAAACCAACCGCGATTTCAACCATATGGAGCAGCGATCAAAGTTTCCTTCCTAGTGCAGCTTTACATAAATTTGACATCGAAGTCCACGGGAGAGTGCTTCTTGTACTTGTCCACCAACACCAACGTGGAATGCAGATCAATTAAGATTTAGTTCACCTGTCCAATTGATTCATTGACCAAATAGTTCTGCAGTTCTTAGATATACAAACAAACATCTTCATGGAAATTTAGTTTGTCTTTTTCTAGTCTCATCAAAGAACATCACAGCACATAAAAGTAAATTACCCCGCAGCATGTGGTAAAGATTATTTGTGCTTTTGCTATGGCTCTGGTTGTTGACCACCAATGGAATGGAAATATAGTAAACAAAGAATAATCTAAAACTTGTTTATTCTCATAACAAGTGAACATCTCAAAACTTCCTGGATATTCTATTTTAATTTTTAAAGGCAATTCATGTGATAATGATACAGTTATTTGCTTAACAATGTCTATTGTTACACAAGCAAGAGCTGACTTTTGACAAATCTATATCAAGGAAAAGCAATGGATCCAACTTCAAAAAATTAATAATTAGATCATACTGCCCGAAGAATTCCTATTTTTTTCAAATAATACTAAACTAACCAACTTGTGAGAAAATGCAGACAAGAGATTTACCTATGGCCGGTCACGAACCGGATGATAATTCCCTTCTCTTATTCCAATTGAAAAAGTCTCTCTCCTAATCAAACCCAAAAAGCTAGTCATGGAAAGCCATGAAATTAAGATATGGTAGGACATACACACAAAGAGTATATCAAACTATCACCTTGAGGCATTGTCACGACCCCAAACCGCCCCTAGTAGTTTAGTGCCGTGATGGCCAGTAATCCGAGATTTATCGAAGGCCAACTTTCAAAATTCACACACAAACAGAGTATACATATGTGGCTTACAAATGCGGAAGCAATAAATTCAAAGCTAAGTAGTCCATAAGAGCTGTACATAAGTTAAATGGAATGGCATACATTCGTACATAGCTTATATACAACAAAATGAAGTACAAAAATGCATCTTGACCAAAAGGCTTCTCAGCTATCAAATACAAAATACAATAAAATACAACTAAGAAACATAATCTTCAAGATGCAGCGAAGGTGCATAATCCAAAACAAGTAGCAAGTACATCTAGGCGTCACCGCCGTCCTGCTCGTCACCTACATATATATAGAGAGGGGTGAGCTTGGATACTCAGTGAATGGTACAAATAATAAAGGGGTTTGCATGAATGATATCCGAAATCTTTATCAAATCAAGATACATCACATATTGTACAAAATCCAAGGGCAAATCAAGTTTATCTAACAATCTTTCAAGTCTCAATAATTCAAGTCTTTCAAGGCTTTCAAGTTCCAAGAGGTGACATTAACAAAAGTTGTGCTACAAATGCTTATAGTCCCCTAGCACGTACGGACTTTTCAAGGTTTGTGCTACAAATGCTTATAGTCCCCTAGCACGTACGGACTTTTCAAGGTTTGTGCTACAAATGCTTATAGTCCCCTGGCACGTACGGACTTTTCAAGGTTTGTGCTACAAATGCTTATAGTCCCCTAGCACGTACGGACTTTTCAAGGTTTATGCTACAAATGCTTATAGTCCCCCAACACGTACGGACTTTTCAAGATTGTCATTCAAAACAAGGCTGATACTTGATATACAAAATAGGGATCATCATTAATGCTTCGCAAAATACTTTCCAAAACAAGCAAGGCAAGCTTTATCAAAACTTAACAACATAACTTTATTAGAAATACCACTCACCTAGTCCTTCAAACGTCGGGGTCAAGGCAAGTCCGAGTCCTACAAACACATGGCAAAGTCTATTGAATGCACTACTCAAACAAATTCACATGCATACAAATGATCTCGGCATCTTTCAAAAACCACTCTAAGTCAAAACAAGACACTGTTTCTCATCTCGGGAAAACATGCTGGGCGACTACCAGGTCTAGGCCGAGGTCCCACACCTCCTTGCCGAGGTGTTGCCTCGATGGCCACATTCAAAGAAATGAGGTCGGAAAAATCTGGGTTTCCCTTTCTTGAAGAACATGTCGAACATGAACATGAGGAAGATGAATGCAAGATCATAATTTGCTATTACAAAATCTGAGATTTCATGCTATGAATTCAAAAACATGGACCTGGGTACCCATATTCAAGGATCTTGCGAGGACAAACACAAAACTTGAATCTTAAGGCAAACTCTCGGATCAAACAAGACTTTTTCTTCAAAAACACATGAACACTATCTTCTCTTTCTAAAACCAGCTTTAAACCAATGCATAACATGAAAAACAGGTTCGATCGTGCAATGCAGCTAGATAAACATAAGGAACAACAAAAGTAAATCGAGAATCTAACCTCAATACGCGAATCTAACGGTTTGATCTCTAGGAATCAAGCTCAAAAGCCCACTCTCTCACTCTAAAACTTCTTCTTCTTCTAGAGCTTCTCTCTCCTCACAAACAAAGACTCATAGCAAAATGATACATTTCTAGGTCTGCTGGCTGACTTAACACTTAGCTGGGACACGTGGCACTACCGGGTTGGTTCTCCTCAAAAAGGTGGCTGAGTGAAAAGACAAGACTATGACAAAGTGCGTTCAACAAGCAAGATGGCATGGGCACTCTAGCGGGTAATGATCTCGGCTAGGAACAAGACATCGGCAAGTAGGGGAACAATGATCTCGGTTAGGAAGGACAACACTTGACTAAGTCGTGCCACACCTTGGCCTAGATGTGCCACACCTTGGTCTAGGTCACACCACTCCAGGACAAGATCACTTAGGTGCAAAGGTGGCATCTCGGCCCAGATAGTACACATCTCGGCCTTGGTGATGAATACCTCGGCCTAGATAATGACATCTCGGCCAATATGTCAGGGCGAAGGTGGAGGTCAAACAAAGTGGTTCCAAGGAAGTTCTAGGCTAAAGATGACCTCGGCTAAACTCACACCAAGCAGGGTACAAAACATGCAAGAACTCTTAAGCAAATCAAATCAAGTTTTGCAAAAATGCAACACATCAAGACAAGATCATGTAATATATGCAAGCATAACTAGAGTAGAGTGAGGGTCGTTACATCCTACCCTTCTTAAAGAAGTTTGGTCCCCAAACTTAAATTACCTTGCTCTACAAATAACCCCGGATAACGGATTTCCATCTCTCCTTCCATTTCCCATGTAGCATCCTTGCCGTAATGCTCTTTCCATTCGATTTTCACCATTGGTATAGATTTGTTCCTCAACTGTTTCACTTGTCTGTCAATAATTTTCATCGGCTTCGCCTCGTAGCCTAAATCGTCACTAACCGCAATCCCGGTATAATCAATTACATGCAGTGGATTCCGAATATACTTCCTCAACATCGAAATATGGAACACATTGTGAACTTGACTTAGTTCTGGTGGCAAAGCTAGTCTATAGGCAGTTGGGTTAACTTTCTCAAGAACTTCAAAAGGCCCAACGTAACGGGGTGCCAATTTACCCTTCTTCCCAAATCTCGAAACTCCTTTCATCGGCGAAATCTTCAGGAATACATGACCCCCAACTTCAAATTCTAACTCTCTTCTTCTCTGGTCGGCGTAACTCTTTTGTCGACTCTGAGCAGTTCTAATTCTCTGTTGGATAAGCTTGATCTTTTCAGTTGTCCTTTGAACTAGATCGGGGCCGATCAAAGCTTTATCTCCTACTTCGGTCCAACACATCGGCGATCTGCACCTTCTTCCATACAAGGCTTTATATGGCGCCATGCCAATGCTAGCTTGATAGCTGTTGTTGTAAGCGAATTCTACTAATGGCAAATGCTCTTCCCAGCTTCCTTGGAAGTCCAATACACATAATCTAAGCATATCTTCAAGTGTTTGAATCGTTCTCTCTGTTTAGCCATCGGTCTGGGGATGGAAAGCCGTACTAAGCCTCAATTCGGTCCCCAAAGCCCTTTGTAAACTCTGCCAAAATCTAGAAACAAACTTTGAATCTCAGTCTGACACAATGGACATCGGCACACCATGAAGTCTAACAATCTCATTCATATACAACACAGCAAGTCGATCAGCATTAAACGAAGTTTTAACAGGCAAGAAGTGTGCTGACTTAGTTAATCTGTCGATTATAACCCAGATTGAATCCATTCCTTTCTGTGTCTTCAGCAAACCAATCACAAAGTCCATGGAGATGTGTTCCCATTTCCACTCAGGAATCGGCAAGGGTTGGAGAAGTCCTGCTGGCCTCTGATGTTCTGCTTTCACTTACTGACAATACAAACACTAGGATAAAAACTCGGCTATCTCTCTTTTCATATTCAGCCACCAAAAAGTCTGTTTTACATCTTGATACATCTTGGTGTTCCCTGGGTGAACTGCAAATCTGGATCCATGAGAGTCTTGCAAAATCTTTCCTTTCAACTCGGGGACGTCAGCCACGCACAATCTTCCTTTAAACTTAAGCACTCCATTCTCAAGGGTGTAACCCGACCTCGGCCTGGTGATAATCTCATCGGCTACCTTCTTCAGGAATTCATCCTCCATTTGCCTTGCCTTTACTTCCCCAATAGTGGTCGGCTCCACTGAAATCATGGCTAGGCATGCCAAACTTCCCACTGACTTTCTACTCAATGCGTCATCTACCGAGTTTGCTTTACCTGGGTGATACTGAATTTGCATGTCGTAGTCCTTCAATAATTCAAGCCATCTTCTCTGCCTCAAATTTAGTTCCTTTTGAGTAAACAAGTACTTCAAACTCTTGTGATCTGTAAAAACTTGGCAAGAGGCTCCATACAAGTAGTGACGCCAAATCTTCAAAGCAAACACCATGGCTGCTAGCTCTAGATCATGGGTCGGATAGTTCTTTTCATGAAGTTTCAACTGACGAGATGCATATGCTATGACTTTGCCCCCTTGCATTAATACACAACCCAAACCCTTATATGAAGCATCACTGAAAATCTGAAATTCCTCATTACCTGTTGGGAGTACAAGAACTGGTGCCGTAACTAACCTCGTCTTCAACTCTTGGAAGGCGGATTCTCTATCATCGGTCCATTCATATGTTGTTCCCTTCTTGGTTAGTTGTGTCAATGGTACTGCAATCCTTGAGAAGTCCTTCACAAACTTTCTGTAATAACCTGCCAAGCCCAGAAAACTATGAACCTTGGACACGTTGGTCGGTGTCGGCCAATTCACAACGGCTTCAATCTTACTGGGATCAACTGATATACCCTCTTCATTAATCACATGCCCTAGAAACGAAAGGCTAAAAAGCCAAAACTCGCACTTGCTCAACTTGGCGTACAACTTCTTGTCTCTCAAAATTTGCAGGGCAAGTTTCAGATGATTCTCGTGTTCAGTTGTACTCTTGGAATAGATCAATATGTCATCAATAAAAACAACTACAAACTCATCTAAATACGGCTTAAAGATTCTGTTCATCAAATCCATGAATGCTGCAGGTGCATTAGTCACTCCAAAAGGCATTACCAGGAGTTCATAGTGACCGTATCTTGTCCGAAAAGCAGTCTTCTCAACATCTTCGGCCTTAACCTTCAGCTGATGGTAGCCCGACCTAAGGTCAATCTTGGAAAAGACTCGTGCTCCTTGTAGTTGATCGAGCGAATCATCAATCCTAGGCAACGGGTACTTGGTCTTAATGGTTACCTTATTAAGTTCTCTGTAATCAATGCAAAGGCGAAGTGTGCCATCCTTTTTCTTAACAAATAGCATGAGTGCTCCCCATGGTGAAGTGCTCGGCCTAATGAATCCTTTGTCCAACAATTCTTGTAATTGTAGTTTGAGTTCCTTAAGTTCAGCTGGGGCCATCCTATAGGGTGTTTTGGAGATAGGTTGCGTTCCCGACATGATGTCCACAGTAAACTCTATTTCTTTATTGACTAAGTGGCCAGGCAACTCATTTGGAAAGACGTCGGGGAATTCCTTAACAACTGGTATGTCGGCTAACTCAACTCTTCTATTCAAATCACTTAGTATACTGCACAAATAACCCTGACACCCTTTTTGGATCAACTTATAGGCCTTCATGGATGAGATTAAGTAAGGTGGGGGTACTACTCCCTTACCTTGGAAAATGACCTCGGGTCGGTTTGGGGTCCTCAATGTGACGCTCTTAGTAACACAATCAATGGATGCATGATTCGCTACTAACCAATCCATTCCCAATATGACATCGAAGTGAGTCATGCTTAATGGCATCAAATCAACTAGTAATTCTACACCCTCAATCACCACAACACACGCCTATAAATGGATGCAACAATCATAGTTCTCCCAGATGGAGTAGACACATATAACACATAGTCAAGGGGTTCTTGTTCTCTATTTAACTTCTCGGCAAACTTAGCAGATACAAATGAATGTGTAGAACCTGAATCAATTAATATGTATGCATCTTGAGAGCAAATTGGGAGTATACCTGACACTACTGTCTCAGCATTCTGAGTGTCTCCTGGCACCAATGCAAAAACTCTGCCCTGTCTCGTCTGTGCCCTTCCGATGTTATTTCTCTGTGCATAGCCCGACGTACTCCCATTCTTCTTACCATCATCAGTCCTTGCCTTCGGGCAGTCTTTCACATGATGACCCATTTCACCACATTCAAAACAGGCTCCCGATGCCCAATGGCAAACTCCGAAATGCGGCTTCCCACAGCTTGCACGCGTCGGCCTAGTATTACCTTCTTGGTTCGAGTTGCTGGAGCTGTCCACATTCGCCTTCTTCTTGGCGTTAAACAGAGCTCGGCGATTATCATGGTTCTGCCTCTTCTTCTAATTTTCTCCTGAGTTCTGATATCGGTTCAAGTTAGCCTCTACCAAGATGGCCTTGTCCAACACTCCGGCGTAGGTCGGCATATTGAGCATGTTAACTCGATCCTGAATTGGTCCACGCAGTCCACTTTCAAACTCCCTGGCCTTTCTGTATTCATCATCGACCATGTGAGGCGCATATCTCGCCAACTCGGTAAAAGCACGATCATATTCTGCCACTGTCTTGTTACCTTGTGTCAAAGTCTGAAACTCTGTGGTCTTACGGTCTCGAACACTGAGGGGGAAATGCTTGTTGTAAAACAATTCCAAAAATCTAGCCCAAGTCAGACCTGGGTTGCTTTCTTGGGTCATCATCCACCATCTTCGTGCATCGTCGTCTAGTGTGACTGTTACCAATGACACCTTCTGGGCGTTGGTACTGGAAAAGATCTCAAACAGCTTCTCCATTTCCAAGACCCACGCTTCGGCCTTCATCGGTTCAATACCCCCAGAGAACCTCGATGGTTTCATCTTTTTGAACTCTCTAATCAAGGCTATGGTGCCATCCCCATATAAAGCTTGTTGTGGAGGCACTTGCGGCACTGGAGGAGGCGGAGGTGGAACTGCATGTCGGCCGTTGGTCTGCTCGGCCTGGGTAGAAGTGATACTAGTGTCTTGTGGCCTGGGTTGTCTTAACTCATGGACCAAACCTTCGACCAATCTCTCTAATCTGTCGAATCTGTCCTCGGGATGATCTCGGCCAACCGGTGGTCTACCCCTTCTCATGACGCTAAGAGTATGCAAAACGTGACTTTAAAACAAAACAATCAAATAGACATGTATGCAAGCAACAAACAGTCAAGCCGAGATGATGCACACTTTGTCAAATAGCAAGCAACATGATGCAATCCTAACATTTTTCTAAGGGAAATCCTATGCTCTTTAGGACTCAAGGTGTGTGAATAACGTACTATGAGGAACTTGTGCTCTGATACCAATCTGTCACGATCCCAAACCGCCCCTAGTAGTTTAGTGCCGTGATGGCCAGTAATCCGAGATTTACCGAAGGCCAACTTTCAAAATTCACACACAAACAAAGTATACATATGGGACTTACAAATGCGGAAGCAATAAATTCAAAGCTAAGTAGTCCATAAGAGCTGTGCATAAGTTAAATGGAATGGCATACATTCGTACATAGCTTATATACAACAAAATAAAGTACAAAAATACATCTTGACCAAAAGGCTTCTCAGCTATCAAATACAAAATACAATAAAATACAACTAAGAAGCATAATCTTCAAGATGCGGAGAAGGTGCATAATCCAAAACAAGTAGCAAGTACATCTAGGCGTCACCGCCGTCCTGCTCG